CAAAAACAGTAGGTTCAGACCCCCATTCTGCCATGGTACAAACCTTCCCTTCTATCTTCCATAATCTATGGTTTTTTTTTTAATTACTGCTCCTCAAACATTTCCAGGAATCCTTAACCGACCAATGTTGGAACACCATTGAAAACCTGGGAGCACTAAACTGCCGTTTCGTCCTGGTATAGGATTCCTCGGCAATGCGTACCCACAACCCCGCAAGTGGGATTCAAATCCGGCAACCTGTCTGCTAAGGAGTCCAATAATAGGACGCAACGACCGTCCAGTGCTTCCAGGTTTTTAATCGTGGTCGAACATTGATCGGTCCATGATTTCCATGAAACTCAACAATCTCCAGACTGAATATTTTCAGAAATATTAATTAGCCATTATTAGTTATCAAATGAAAAATTATCTCCACCCTGGAGTTTCCCATTAGCCGATTATTACATAGCTTTCTTTCAATATCTGATTTTCGTAAACAACCAAGGACAAAATACCACTGCAGTTTTTTTAATTATTCAACACTGCTGTTTTGCAACAGACTACTATTTTTAGCAAATAAATTAATTGTAAAAAACGATTGTACAGCTTAAGTAAATGAAATCTAAGAAAAGAAAAATTTCCGCGTGAAACGTGTTTTTATTCTTCTTCATGAAACAATGAGTCACTTCTATTAATTGTAAAAGCTGCTCACACTTTGAGACACTGTTATTGTATTTTCTACATACTAATCTCAAACAAAAGCTGTTTTCTAATTGAGTAAATAACTGGTTGGCAAGCAGTCGCTGTTGTTTTAAGCTCACAATATATTTCACACATTCTCTAATTTTGGTTATTTAGTATGACATTGGGCAAACAAACTTCAGTCGCTGTAACTACTGCTCGGGAAAATACGATGGACCATCCTAATAGTTAAACATACTTTAAACTAAAATATATTAATGATATCTCCAAAACTTCATGATAGTAATGATGAGATCAATCTTGATAATAAAAGACAACTTCAAAATGCTTTTATTTAGCAGGTAATTAAATTTCACAAGTTAAAAAAATTTAAACTATAGAGCACTCATCTGTATTCCAGTTGTACAACCAACGCATGGAGTTCAAGTAAGAATGCCTACAAATATAAGGATTTGTTTCGAAATTCTATAAGTTTACGAGATTAATTGATTATCTATAGTTAGAACTATTGTTGATTCACTTCCACGATAAAAAACTCTAACAGCTGTTTCGTGGGTAGAATTTCCATGACTGATCAGTTTGATAAATGTTATACTCTACGGCTGATGACATCACAACACAAGATCCTAGTAAGCTGGATAGTATCAATGATAACTACAAACTTTCAACAAAATCTAACATATCTATTATTAATACAGTCAGTCAGTAACAACGTGGAACTTCGTACGTACGTACATCAGTTCGAGTTGCCATACCACATTAGCACAGGGATTCAGTTATCCATTCAAATCCCGTAGTGGTAGAGGTAATGAAAGTATAAATAGTAATCGGGAACATTATGGTTTGATGATGTTATTCAAGGAGTATAATCCAGTGGAATGAATTTGGGAAGAAAATGGAGGACATGACGAATTCAGAAGATCAGAATTTGGGAGAACACAAAGAGTGGATGCACCTGCGCCATTGCAAACGATTTTGAGCCATGTCATTCAAGGTCCCTAACTATAGGTTACTATCATCTCGTGGTCCCCAACCAAGTAGTCTACACCTACCAACATGGCTCAGTCCACTTGTCAGTGACTTCATGGATTTGTGCCATCTTTTGGTCTGGCCGCCTCTAACTTTCTTCCAACCCACTCCTACACCATAAAACATCGCACGTCGAGGCAGTCGGTGGTCGGGCATACGTAACACATGTCCCAGCCATCTCAACTGATTAAGTTTTACTACTTCATCAATTGATTTGCCATCCTTAACTGGTACCCGTTTCCTAACAACTGAGTTACTTACTCGGTGGTCCCAGGATATATGAGCAGTGTTTCGAAGACACCCATGATTGAATACTAGTAACCTATGAGTATCCTCTACTCTCACCGACCGTGTTTCACTGAAATAAAGTAGGACGGGACGAAAAGCTGCGCAGCAAACCACCTTCTTTTGGTTGATAGACGGATATCTCGCCTACGCCACAAATGACGCAAGTTGGCAAAAGCTAGTCGAACCTTCTGTATCCGTGCTGAAATTTTGTCACACACCACACCACAAGGGCTGATGAGACTTCCAAGATAAGTGAAGCGGTCGACACGCTCAACTACTTCACTCCCTATCACTAGTTCGGGTGTCGACGCAACCCAATCCTGAAGCAACATTTTGCATTTCGAAGGAGAAAATCGCATGCCGAACATGCCTGCATTGTTGCTTAAAGTGGTCAGCAGACTCTGTATTTTGTCAGCGTCTTCACTAAATAGAACTATATCATCGGCATATTGTAAGTCAACAAGTGGATCTCCCGGTACTCATTACACAAAAGACCTGTACTTAAAATAAGGCCTTCAGAACCATTTGATAAAAGAGAATGCATTTTGGAACATAGTACGTGAATTTAATGCCCGATATCCACACTAAAGCACTAAATACCCAGTATGTTTATAGTGGATCTAAGTGTAACTTACGACGCCTGACTGATGATCAGCTATGGAATCGGTTTACAAGGCAAATTATTTGTGACGCCGGCTAGTCGGGAACACAAGACCAGCACGGCTACTCCAAAACACAAATCTTGTAAGAAAATTTTGTTTGGTGGAGATCAAAGGTTAGCCCATATTCAAATTAATTCATTAAAAAACCAATTACGTCAAGTGACATAGTTAAACTTTGTGAATGTGGAAAAAACACTTGAAAGAAACATCACTGTGAATTAATTAATAGAGGTATATTGAAGGCCAAAAGAACGAAACTGATGCTAAATTAACTAGTACAAGTGAAATTCAAATGAACAGAAATTTCATCGAAATAATTTGTGAAAATAAAAGTGCACTTGAAGTTAAATAAACGAAAATCATCTTGAATCAATATGAATTTTAAAAATGATTTCTTTTGAATAAGTTGTATTTGGGTGTTTAACACTTTTCTTTACTGAATACCGGACTACTTACAGGTTTGCCTAAACTTGTGCAATTCCCCATTATATTTTAGACGTACCCAATTTATGATATTCGATGGACGTTCAGTTTTCCCATTTTGTTATGCATATAGTGGAGAGCGTATAAAATTTATTTTATGATGGAGAGAGAACCTTAGAATATCGCGATCTAGATTGTGACCCATTAACTATTACTAAGGGGAGGTCTGGGAATCCGTTGAAGTAGAAAATCTCTGCCAATACTTGAAGGATTTGATTGATGAACAGGGGCAATACCCTCACCTTGGTTGTTTATAGGTAGCACAGAAACTAATGAGTCTTATTTTCAGGAAACTATATTATTAACAAGTTTCCTTACTAGCCAGCTAGTGAAAAAACTGTAAATAGTAGGCGACCAAGAGTAACTACAAATTGACTTCACTTTGTACATAGGACCTGGAACCTCGCATAATTGGGCGTCAGTTTTTGTTAAACTGAATACACTTAAATTAGTCCCATTGCCTTAATTGTGTTTGTTTTCCCTCTAAATAACATATCATTTTAATAGCTCCACTCAGTTTTTGCATGATCAATGAGCAGACAATAGACATCTTACCTAAATGGTATTCTAATTAGATTTATTTTAACGATGCTGTTTTTTGCGCATCATACAACTACAAATGCAATTATCCCAACTTTTGTCTCTGATACCTTATTTGGTTTCATTGACAAAGTTTTAGTAGATATGTGAAACGAATTTCGGTATTGTATTGTCGAGTTACTGTAGTTATTCTTTTTGGTAGCGCGAGTGGATTTAATTACAAATTCACTTTAAAAGTCGTGTTCAAATTCCATGTATTTGTTGTGCGACCAGGTTAATGTAAAGAAGCCCTTTAACTTGAGCATCTGAACCAAATAAGGGCGAATGAATAAAAACCCAGTAAGTGGGTCATAATTATATTTTTAAATAATATCAACTCGACATTATTTTGCCACTAACTTTTGGAGTTGGTGAAATTATCTTAGCAATATATATGGCAAGATCTTTCTCTACACATATTTACTAAATGGTGTCTTTAAAAAGGTTGTTTTGTACATGTCATTACTTAGCTCAAAGTGTAGTCGTTTCTTACAGGTAATTACTCACCAGGTTACAAACATTACGGATCAGCAATACATTAAGTGATAGAGTAAAAATTCCATTCAGAATGACCACAAGCGGTTCACTACAAACACATTCACATAACCATAGTAACCTGGAATTCACATGATAACAATTCATTGTGATGTGTTAGTTACAAGACATGGTTTACTAGTGTGATAACCTTTGTTACACGCTTACGAATGGAAAACTACTATGACATTTATGACCAGTTTCCGAAAGATCATGATAATATTACTTACAGATCGAGACCAGCATGACCATTATTGAATACAGACTGATAGGTATTAGAATCCTCTGGAGGGTGACAACCATTGATGAAAACAAGCAAACACGTCCGCGAATAGATTGTCAGGCACCGAGATGCATTGCACAGAATACAGAGACTGAAATTTCACGTGGATTTTCAACCAAACTGAATACTACTACACTGTCACTTTCTATATATTGGACTAAGGATGTCGTATATCACTTCTCTTATAGTTCCTTTTATATTTTAACTGTTATGTAACGTAAACAAGCGGCAAAGTTTTGTAACAAGCATACTTCATATCAAAAATGAATCTTATTGAGTGTACTTCACTAAGTTGCCTCCTAAAAAGTTATCCGGACGATTGAAACAAACAAGGCCTTTCCTCCTACCCAATACGAGGATGATTCTGAAATCAACTGCTGGTAGACATACTAGTATGGAAATGTATTTCATGACTAATTGCCCTGTATAATGTTAAGGGATAAAAAAAACAGCATAAAGACATGACAAATAAACCTATAACGTACTTTAGGTGGTCATTGGAGCACTTTTTTGAGATCCAACATACAGGCTTCCTAAAAAGATGAGGCATAAACAACTCGATTTCTTTCCTTACTAAACTTGTTGGAATGCTTACAACCACTAATGTGACTTGTGATTCACAGTCACGGTGGGCACAATTCACGGAATACCGTGTTAAAATCTTGAGCTTGCCAACAATAAAAGTTTGATCGATAATGTAATTCATAGAGTGGTCTGGGACCAACATATCTTTTATCTACTTACAATAGCGAATATGGGGTGTCATTAACGGCAGTTCCCAATGATAAAATAAAAATACGTCAGGAAATAATTACATTCAGATACGCAGCAAGTTGAATGCAGCCTATTGATTTAGTCGTAAAATGACAATCTATTTTATAAAGGTTAATGTACATATCACTGTAAGTCATTTAAAGAGGTTAACAATGTTTGACAAAGGTGAGAGTTTATAAAATTCTGGGCTAATTTTTCTTCGAACTTCCCAAAGGCTTTCCTTTATCTTTACCCCTCAATTTAACTCCCAGAGCCCTCTCTAGTTTCGAGATAATAGCTTGGTTTTTTACTGCACGACCTTGTTCGTACTCTGAAATAACCTGCAGCAATGAGCAAACACTGCATATCATACCTGTTGTTTCTCATTAATTTTGGTAGCTAAATCTTTCTGTGTTAAGTTCTTTTCCTGCCTTGCCTGCATTATAATCTTAGCAACATCCATGTCAACCAAATCATTGCGCAAATCCTCTGTATCCTCCTCTAGTTTAGCTGTGTTTTTCTCGATGGTCCGCTGCTTGTTTTGACCAGCAGCCCATCGTTTGTGAGTTTCAATGTGATCACCACGGCGTTGTGCCGCACTGAAAGACTATGTTTCTAAAATATCAGCATGATAAGTGAAGTTACGGAATTCGACTTAAGCGTCACTGTACGGACACCCTCCATCGACAAATAATGCACAACGACATTTACGAAAATTATAACAACTGCGAAGGTCACACTCGTAAGAGCGGCTATTCCAACAGTCGTAATACACAATACAGGTTTCTGATGTCTAAGATTTTTGGAAACAGGACGTAAGTGGCACCGTAGTTACTCGAAGCATTCTAAATTAATGAAAGTAAAAGTTCAACTTGTTATTTTCAGTACTGTATGCAAAACTAATCCGGTTTCTGTTCAAAGTGTTTCAGATAAATGTGTAAATGATAAAACTGATCTTGCAATAGTTTCCCGCCTCAAGAACCACGAAAGAATCTGGATAAAAAGTTAGGTTTTTGAAATCAACACAACTCGGCAGTAAACAATACCCTAAAAATGGGGTTATTATATATGTACTAGTAAATTATGTAAATTATGTAAATAGCTTTACTGACACACAACATTGATGATGATCTTGATCAAGTAAAGAGAAGCAGTCACAGATCATGGTGACATACCGGTAAAGTTCGTGTTTAGGAAAGTTAAAATATGTATTAATCTAACGAATACTCCAGGAGAAGAAATTTTAGTAAATAAGCGTATCTAGGAAGTGGTATCTAAAGCGCGTTCTACAGTACAGTCCCCATTTCAAGCATATCGAAGGAAGTGGTTTGATTCGTTAGATACATATATTTCTGCTTTTCCAGACGGAAAATATCAATATTTCCGTATAGCTGGCACTTCATCGTACATGGAGTAAATCATGTTTTTCTGGTTTGGCCGCTTAATTATTCCTATATTGCGGGGTTTGACGTTAATGCAGGTCCATCAGCAAGCCTTCCTATCCAAACATGTGTTTTACGTAACACACATCAAACTCATGCAGCCATGATCCTCAAAATCGTTACTTCCTAGTATTCCTGACCTCTGCAACCGAAAATGCGGCTCTTTAGATATTGGTTTCGTCTTTATGTCTGACTCTGCCTGACGAGCGGTGCACCACTATAGTCAAGAGTTTATTCTATGATGATATCCTAGAATAATAGGTCTACACATTTTCACCAGCATCGACAATATCGTGACGATTTCGAACTTCCTGAGATAGCTTTACTCTACCGAAACAATAGTTTTTAGTTGCCCGTGGTCTGATTCTGTTTTTGGATAAACTAATAAATGTTCCTTAACCATAAATTTCACCTGAGCGGACGTGAAAAACGGATAAGGGGAAATAGAAATGGAGGAAAAGCGTATCAGCTCCTCATTAATAGCCATTAAAAGAGCTAATATAGCTCAAAACAGATACTGCTTGGTGTAGCGAAGAAATAGTAGTCGGATAAAATTACTAGTGACACACATCAACACACGCACATCCAAGGCACACAGATGCAATGTTTCAAGAAGATTGATATAAAACATATATTTGCTGAAAGTCATAATATTTTATATGGAGATCACTTCACTCTGTTTTAGGAATAAAAATGATCTGCGAAACTCCGAACCAACATGTATAAAGATTGATTGTAGAGTAGATGTTCACCTTCCCGCTTGGCTCAGTTTTTGGTAGAGACGATAGATAACTCCTCCTGTAGTTCTTCTAGAGTTACTGCCGGTCCCAAACTCGGGTAAAGGAGGAGGGTTGGGCATAGGGTCGGCAACCCCATCCCGTAGAAAAAAAATCTTGTTAATAAAACGCCAACCACATTTAACAAATTGAACCATTTAAACTCTCCCTCCGAGTTCAAGGAAGAATTATGGAGCCTTGTGACGAAAGCCGAGATTTTTCGAAAGTCAGGGGACTGATGACCCTTTTAACAACCAGAGCAACAATTTTTATAGGTACATGGAACGTCCGGACAATGTGGGGGACTGGGAAGACCAGTTAAATAGCAACGGAAATGAGGAAATACAACTTGGCAGTACTGGGAATCAGCGAGATGATGCTATACTACGGTCACGAAGAGGAAAATGCTTCACACACTCAGGAGTTCCTCTAATGCTGTTCAAAGTAGCACAAAATGCACTTGTAGGATGGGAATCTCACGAATCCAGAATTACCAAAGCATCATTCAAAACAAAGAGGGAGGGGATTACAATGAACATTATCCAATGTTATGCACCCACCAATAATAGCAACGACGACGTTAAAGATCAATTGTATGAGAGGCTGCAATCAATCATAGAGAAGTGCCCAAGAAAGGACCTCACCATTCTGACAAGAAATCTAAACGCCGAAGTCGGAATAGACAACACCGGATATGAAGATATCATGGGACGACATGGACTGAGAGAGAGAAATCAAACTGGGCAGGAATTTGCAAATCTATACGCATTCAACGAATTGGTCATAGGCAGCACAATATTTCCAAACAAACGTATACACAAAGCTACATGGATCTCACCGAACCACACCACAGAGAATCAGATTGATCATATTTGCATCAATAAAAAGTTCCGAAGGACAATGGAAGATGTGAGAACCAGGAGAGGAGCGGATATAGCTTCAGACCACCACCTGGTTGTGGCCAATTTAAAATTGAAGCTAAAGAAGAACTGGACAAACAGCGCTGCAAAGGTTCAATAAAGCCTTCCTTCGAGATACCGACAAACTCAATGAATTCAAGATAGCTCTAAACAACGGGTTCCTAGCCCTACAGGATCTACTGAAGGAAGAAGATACAGCTATGGAGGATAGCTAGAAAGGTATCAAAGAAGCATTCATTTCAACGTGTCAAGAGGTTCTGGGCCCCAAGAAGCATCATCACAAGGAATGGATTTCTATGGAAACACTGGACCGGATCAAAGAAAGGAATAACAAGAAGACAGCAATTGACAACAGCCGAACACGAGCAGATAAAGTCCAAGCACAAGCTGAATACATAGAAGCAAACAAGCAAGCGAAGAAGAGCATTCGAGCCGACAAGCAGAAATACGTGGAAGAACAAGCTACAACGTCGGAGAAAGCTGCAAGAGAAGGAAATATGAAACAGCTTTACGATACAACGAACAAACTAGGAGATATACTAAATAAGAGAGACTTGTCAAAGATAAAGAAGGCAGGCCAATCACTGAGATTCAACAGCAGCGGAACAGATGAGCAGAGTACTTCGAGAAACTCCTGAATAGGCCGGCTCCAATGAATCCACCGGACACCGAAGCAGTACACACAGATCTTCCTATAGATGTCAATCCACCAAGGACGGAAGAAATCAGAATGGCCATTAGACAAATCAAGAGCGGAAAAGCAGCAGGACCCGATATTATACCAGCTGAAGCATTGAAGTCAGACATCGAAGTAACCACAAACATACTTCAAGAAGATTTGGGAGGAGGAACAAGTGCTAATGGACTGGAAAGAGGGACATCTTATCAAGATTCCAAAGAAAGGTGATCTGAGTAAATGTGAGAACTGAGGAGGCATCACACTACTGTCAGTACCAGAAAACGTTTTCAACAGAGCGTCGCTAAACTGGATGATGGATGTAGTAGACGCCCAACTTTGAAATTAACAGGCTGGATTCCGTAAGGGTTGGTCGTGCACAGACTAAAATGTAACAATACGGACCATCGTCGAAAAATCAGTTTAGTGGAACTCGTCACTGTACAATAACTTCATTGATTGTGAAAAGGCATTTGACAGTGTAGATAGGAGAACGTTATGGGAAATTCTTCGACACTACGGAGTTCCTGAGAAGTTTGTCAATATTATCCGGAACTCATGCAATGGACTACAGTGCAAGGTCTTGCATGGAGGACAGCTGACAGATGCATTCCAAGTAAGGACCGGAGTCAGACAAGGCTGTCTACTCTCTCCCTTCCTCTTTTTTCTGGTGGTCGACTGGATTATGAAGACCTCTACATCTGTGGGAAAACACGGCATACAATGGACAGCTCAGAACCAATTAGACGATTTGGACTTCGCAGATGACCTAGCCCTCCTGTCTCATACATAAAAACAAATGCAGGTCAAGACAACCAGTGTAGTAACAGCCTCTGTAGTGATAGGACTCAAGATACACAAGGGAAAAGAAAGGTCCTCAAGTACAACACGGAGAACACCAACCCAATCACACTTGATGGCGAAAATCGGGAAGATGTGGAATCCTTCATGTACCTGAGAAGCATCATCGATGAACCAGGAGGTTCAGATGCAAGCGTAAAGGTGAGGATTGGCGAGGTAAGGGCCGCATTCCTACAATTGAAAAACATATGGAACCAACAACAACTTTCAACCAATATCAAAGTCAGAATCTTCAATACCAACGTCAAGGCAGTTCTACTGTACGGAGCTGAAACTTGGTGGACTACAACGACAACCACCAAGAAGGTACAAGTATTTATTAATAGCTGTCTACGCAAGACACTCAACATCCATTGGCCGGATACCATCAGCAACAGCCTTTTGAGGGAGAGAACCAACCAGCTTTCAGCTGAAGAGGATATTATGAAAAAACAATGGAAATGGATAGGACATACATTGAGGAAATCATCAAACTGCACCACAAGACAAGCGCTAACTTGGAATCCTGAAGGAAAGCGGGAAAAAGGAAGGCCAAAGAACGTCGGGAAATAGAAGCAGATATGGAAAGGATGCAGGACAACTGGAAAGAACTGGAAAGGATTTCCCGGATCCTTATATCAAGGTATTAAGTGGCTTGTATATATTGGCCAAATGACTTGTGCGTCACACCTATGTTCTGTACTGGTATAGAGAAATTCTACAAGCTGTTAGAAATGTCTTTTGGCTTGCAGCAATCTTCTAAATGAATAAATTCTGATATATGTGAGCCTGAATTATGACTCGATAATTGATGGTCAAAAATAATGCCTAATCAGTAACCAAAAACACTCCACGAATAATATTTTAAGAGAGCCAAACTAAAATGTTCTGATGAACATTTCAAATATCATCTTCGGTGGAATGGAACCTTTTGTTCGTCAGATCCTGGGTTTAACTCCAAAGTATCCATACTGCAAAAGATATATCGATCAGGATATAAGTGGACGATTGTTCTGTGATAAAGGATGCATATCAATGAATGGTGAATTAACATTGCCAATAATTGGATAACTTCTATGTTTGTGAAGAAGATTTAGGGC